GGTGGCCCTGCATTGGTGGGGGGTTGGAGCTTCGTGATCCTTGAGGTCCCTTCCAACCCAAGCCATTCTATGACTCTGATTCTGTGGCTGCTCAGAGCTGAGCTGTGCCCAGGTTTGGGGCTGGTAGCCTTGTTGCAGCAGGGATTGGAACCAGGTGGTCTTGGAGGTGCTTTTTGTCCAACCATTCTGTGATCTTGTGACTCAGCACCACCCCAGGGGCTCAGCACTGGAGCCTCCAACTGGGCTCTGCACCATGGAGCATCACCCCGTGTCATGGAGCAGTGCCTCACACCATGGGGCAGCACCCTGTGCCGTAGAGCAGCACCCTGTGCCGTAGAGCAGCACCCTGTGCCGTAGAGCAGCACCCTGTGCCATGGAGCAGCACCCTATCCCATGAAGCAGCACCCCGTATTGTAGAGCAACACCCCACACCGTGGAGCAGCACTCTGCTGTAGAGCAGCACGCCATGCTGCTGCCATGGACCAACACGCTACACCATGGAGCATCTCCCTGTGCCATGGACCAACATACCATGTTATGGACCAGCACCCTGTGCTGTAGAGCAGCACCCCACACCATGGAGCAGCACCCCATGCCATGGACTAGCACCCTGTGTCATGGAACAGCACCCTTGTGGTCACCACCCAAGGCGTTCTGTGGCATGCTGCCTTTCTGGGGAAGGCTCTCTGATTTGCTTAATGTTTCTGACCAGGTTACCATCACATCCAGTTGCTGCTGAGCTGTCATTTGGCTCTCAAAGACAGAGCAGTGGCAGCTCCCTGCTTTGTTGAGTGGTAACAGCTAATTTGCAGCCAGTAACCATGAACATCTGAACTGCATGGAGCTATTTTTTGCTTGAATTTGCATTTTTTTCGGCACTTTTCCATGTTATTGCCTTGCCTTTGCTTTTGTAACTTTTCTTTATTGTGCTGTAAGTGAGGATTGCAGGCTGAGGGTGGTGTGCAGGCCCAGCATGTGCCCCGTGCTGCCTCATCTGCTGTGAGCATTAGGGGGCATCCAACGATGCTGATAAATGGGCAATGCTGCACGGCAGTGAGGGAACACACGGCACAGCAGTGCTCCAAAAAAACACAAATTGTCCCCATTTAAAAGTTATGTGGGGCTCAGAGGAATAACTGATGGGAGAAGGAAACAGATCCATTTGAAAGAGGTGTTCTGAGGGCTGTCACCAGCTCAGGAGGTGCCTGAGATGCATGTTTTCGGGGCGTAGGAAAGGAGATTTGGGACCACGAGCAGCCTTAGCTCCAGGCTTCTCCCATCTTCTGATCTGGTTATTTGCTGCAGTGAGAGGGTGGGCTGACAGAGGTCTGACTGAATCACTGCAGCTGTTCTCCATTCTTTATTTCCAGTGTTCAAACATGTAGTGTCTGTAAAATGTTGGCATGCACAGGGTGAGCACAGAGCCCCAGATATCCGCCTGCAATCCCTCCCTGCTGTATCAGCCCCGGCCTCCTGCCTCCCACCCAGTGACCGAGCTGGGAAAGTCTTTTATCCCACCCTTCCAATGGCTCTGCTTCAGGAAAAGCTTGAGCTGAAATCTTCCATCGCTTTGCTTTCATTTTCCAACCCTTTCACAGAGCTGCGAACCTGGTCTGGTCTCAGTTTCTCTCCCGACAGCACTTCCCTTCAGGAGCTGCAGAACCCTCAGTGCCGTGTAAATGAAATGTAAAATCTCGTCTTTTTCTCTTTGCAGAGGGAAGAGGACCGGAGACGCATGCAAAGTGCAGCTGTGTCTCTCAAAACACCTCTTGTCCTTCTTAATGTATTCCTTTGCACATTCCATGACTTGTTACCGCGCGAAGGCAGCGAGGATTTTGCCGTTGGAACTGTTGCCCCTTCCCTCCCATCTGCTCCGCGCTTATCTGCAGCACTTACAATGCAGCAGACCTTGTGAGTGGAGCGCAGAGGAGCCATATGGCATCCATAGGTAACAATACTGCTGACAATTGAGCTATGTGCTATGTGAGACCACCAGCAAAAAAGCAATTTGTGACCAACAGCAGAAAAAAAAAAACCAAACCCACAACTAAATAAATCAAAACAATCGATCTTGCAGTGTTTGAGGTGATTCCCAAGAGTGTGGCTAGGAAGGATAACTAAAAGCAATGAGCTTGGTGTGAGTGGAAAACCGTCTTTGGGGAGAGGCACTTTGATTTACCTCTCTCGATTGTGGCTGCTGCAGCAAACTGCCCACATTGCCATCACCGCCCTTCCCAGGATGTCCCCCACAAATCACACTGCACCGAACCGGGGTGGGAGGGTTCCCATGTCTGCAGATAACTCCGTGGCCACCGATCGGATGCTAAATGCTTTAGTAATGCTTTGAGTCACAAAAGATCATTAGTGCTGCGAGGCCAGAAGAGGTTAATGAGAGAGCAGCTGTTGGGCTGGCTCAATGGTGGGGCGACAAAAGGAAAGGCAAAGTGTCCCCTGAGCTGGGGGGGTCAGCCTTCCCGACACAGCCAAAAGCAGCTGGAGGAATAATGGATGATCTGAGCCAGGTGCTGGGTTGCTCCGAAGCAATGCAGTGGGGATGCTCCGCTGCTGCATAAATGCTGCCCCACGTGCCCATCCTCACCCCTCTGCTGCCTTCTCTGTAGGAAAAAAATGGGGAAAACTGCTGGAAAACTGGCTGCTTCTTGTCACATCAGCACGGCACGAATACTCGATGTGAGTGTTCCAGCTTGCAAATGAGCAGGAATCACAGAGCCGGCTGCAGCCAGCTCCCAATGCAATGCATCACTGCTGGGCTCGCCTCTCCGCAGCGCCAGCTGGAAATGGGGCACAGGACCTCACTGTCTGCGTCAGGGCTGGTTCCGAAATGCAGAGACAGACGTGGGGAAGCAGCAGCACACCTGCACCTCCCCATCGCCTTCAGCTCAGCAGCGAGTGGGAAAAGCACTGTGGGTGAAGCCGAGTCCTGCAGGGATTTGCACAGCCACTCCCTGGGGCGGTCGTGGTAAACACAGACAGTTAATAAGAAAGGCAAAGATTGTTGTTCTTTCCTTTACAGAAATCTTCCTGTTTGCCTGTTCATCTACACATTTACACATCTCTCCCTCTGTGCACACAGCAGATGTAGGAGGAAATGCCACAGAACTGCATTGTGCCCCCAGCCAAGAGCAGGAGAGCTCATGAGGACAGAGGGGAAGGGCTGACATTTCTGATCAGACAGCCGAGCACCAGGCTGGAGGGACACTGCGAGGTCGTGCAGCACCTGCTGCCAGGAGCGATCAGCTCACCCAAACCTCTGCTGGCAGACGTTGGCCCGCCCTGCTCCCAGGATGCTGCTGCACCACTCGCCCTGCTGGGCATCCCTCCCCGCCCCTCAGCCCCCTCTGCTCATGTCAGAGCCAAGCATCCCTTGCTACTTTTAACCGTGACTTGTTTGTGATCGCCCATGGCCATGAGGAAGAATATACTGCATTCATAAAGCAAGCAAAAAAATATATTGTTTTGATTCAATTTTCAGGTCACCTTTACAATTCACGTTGCTGTTTGGAAGCAAGCTGCCTGCTGGCTCTCCAGGAGGCCCTTTTCCAGCAGAGACTGAAGATCCCCAGGAAACATGCCGAAAGCAGCAGGGATGTAGCAGCAAAACCACCTCAGCAGGGAGCTGCCACGATGTGAGCACTGCTGTGAGCAAAGGGAGAGCAGCAGCTCCCAGCACTGAGCATCACAGGCAGGGAAAAGCCACCCAGTCCCATCCCCTGAGGCTCTCTGAGCACACTGCTCCTGCTGGGCTCACTGCCCTTCGCATCCACCTTCATCCTTCTCCTTCACACCTCTCCTTAGCCTCGCCCAGCTCCTTTCCTCACTTTGCTCCATGCTGCCTTCCTCCCTGCAGCTCCTCCTTCTTGTCCTCCCTTCGTGTCATAGAATCATAGAAACAGAACCATTCATGTTAGAGAAGTTCTCTGAGACCCCACACACATCCCCACACCAGGACGGTGACCCCCATCCCTGGGCAGCTGTGCCAGTAACTGGTTCTTCCTTTTCCTCCCTTCTTGCCTTTCACGTTCCCCCATTGCTGATGGAGCTCTCCCATGTCTCCATTTCTCTGTCCTCTCCTATTTATAGAATCACAGAATCATTAAGGTCAGAAGAGACCTCTGAGATCACCAGGTCCAACCCCAACCCACCCCCACCATGCCCGCCCACCACGTCCCTCAGTGCCACATCTACCCTTAAGAATTCCATCACTCTCACACTGAATCTCCAGTCCTGCTTCACCCCTCAGAAGCAGCAGCAGAATTTCCTCCTCTTCTCCTCAGTCCTCCCGAAAGTCCCCAGTTTCCCCCTCTGAGCACCCAGCACTATTGGTGCGCTGAGCCGCTGCCCGCCACGCCAGCCGGGATTCTCTCTGCCTCTTTGTGCTGCTCTCCCCAACAGATTGTCTCCATCTGCCGTCTCTTGCCTTGCAGTTAAATCATGAGCTCTCTGAAGCAAGAGCCGTGTTGCCGTGCTGCATTTTTGTAGCACCTACAGAAAGGAGATCTTCCTTCAAAGGTGCTTCTGCAAAATGGCTTCTAATTAATGCAATAACAGAGAATAGGAGGCAGCAGTCTGAGCAACGTTCAGAGAACATCGTATCAAGAATTGAGAGCGTGAATCAAGAAACGAGGGGGAGCAAAAGAAGCACAAAGCCAGGTGCAAAGTGCAAAGCAGACATTTTCAAAAGACTTATTTTTTTTTAATACACTGAAAACCTGAAATGCTGGGGCCCTTTTGTGGGCAGCCGTCCTTCCCCACCACACCAACACGCCGTCCCCTGTTCCTTCCCCTCAATGCTGCTCACTATTTCCATCTCAGTTTTGCCTACCCTTCTGATCCCCCCGCATGCCTGTGCTCTCCCATATCTGTCCCTGGTAATCTGACCCAGTTCCCACTTTCTCTAAACCTTTATTTCAAGCTCCAGCTCAGCACAGAGCTTGTGGTGTAGCCAAGCTGCTTCCCACCACGCTTCCTTTTGGGATCTCTTGTGGTGGTGCCATTCACATCGTTTCTTTGAAGAGCTGCCAGTTTCCTTCTTCCCTTCACCTTTAGCCGCGCCTCCATCAGCTTTCACAGCATTCCTCTGCGTTTCTCAGCCCGCCTTCCTAGGGTCCTTGTCCTCCATTACCTCTCCATGTTGGCCATGGTCTCGGTGCTCCCACCTCCCACCTTCAGCCCCCTCCACCTTCTGACTTTGTCCCCGTTCTGCCCTTGTCCCAGCAGAACCAGGACCAGCCCCAGTAACACCAGCACCAGTCCCAGTAAGACTAGGACCAACAGCAGCCCCGGCAGCATGGAACGCACCAAGAACTGTGCCGCTATGGTGGGAGCCATCACGAGAGCACAGCCAGCATCCAAACACACGCACAGCTGTTCTTCCCATGCTGAGCGTTTTACAGTTCACCCAGCTAAGAGGATTTTGCTTTTCTCCTCTCTCTAAACCCAATGCAGGTTCAGTGTAATACCGGGCCTGCTCCTGCTGCAGTGAGTCTGAGAGCAGTGGGGTAAGTGGTGCTTTTTCCCCCAGTGCTGACATCCCCACACTCTGCAGCACCACATGGGGCTCCCACTGCACCTAGATCTGGCCCAACCTTGGTAGGAGGCAGGAGGACTATATGGGACACATGTCCTCCCCAGTGTGTCTTAGTGTCACTGAGAGCTGCATGGAGGTGGATGAGGTCCCACAGATCCCAGGGACAGAATCACAGAATCACAATTCCCAAGTTGGAAGGGATCCATGGGGATCATCGAGTCCAACTCCTGACTCCAAAAGGAACCACCCAAAAATCAGACCATAAATGAGTCTGATGAGAGGAGTTGGCTTTGGGATCGGTTCCACATGCCCGACCTCCTTATCCTGGGCATCATTGGGACTGCTTTGTTTCAGGCAGCCCAAGAGAAGAAAGGATCCTTGTCCTGGGGACACAACTCCCATCCCAGTACGTGTCCACAGGAGAAAATGGGACAGCAGAGGGAGGACAATCACGGTGCTCGTGCCAATCCCTCTGTGCCAGGGCTGCTCCCCTCCCCGCCAGCCAACCAAGCATTTCATTTAGTAGCCATCCCCCGCCCCACTGTATAAAGGCAATTTGAGGCTCTGTGTGTGAGAGGAGGCAAATTCCTCCGTGGAGCCATGAAATCGGACAGAGCCCGGGGCTGTCCCTGCATTGTGAGGACATCACCGCGCTCCTCCGTTCTCCAGTGAGTGCAGAGCTGACAGCAAGAGGGAAACTGAGGCACAACGAGGGATGCAGAGCCCCAAGTGAGATGGGGTTCTGGGGTATGAGATGGGGAGGGGAAGTTGGGGCTCCGTGAAGGAAATGGGGGTGCGTGATTAATTGCTTTGTTTCCTCTCTTCTGAGGTCCCATCAGTGCCACCAAAGGAATTTCCCAAAGTGAAGGCACTGCTGGGTGCTGCAGTGTGCATGGAAAATGGGATTCTCCGTGGGTCTGAGCTGCCTGGGGAGTGAGTTCCCACTGGGGACATAAGGCTGCCATCCCCTCCAGCATCCCGCAAGCAGGTGGGGACAGACAGTGGTGACACCACTGGCACTCAGGGCAGGGACTGAGAGCGTGCTGGGGGGTGATGACCCCACACCATGAGTCACATCTCACAGGGGGACCCTGTGCTGGGATGGGATGGGGATGGGATTGGGACAGGGATTGGAATGGGGACAGGCATGGGGAATAGGATGGCAGTGGGGACAGGTATTGGAATGGGGACGGAGATGGGTACAAGAATGGGGATGGGGACATGGATAGGGATTGGAATGAGGACAGGGATGGGACAAGGATGAGGAATGGGATGGGGATGGGAACAGAGATGGGTATGGGGTCAGAGCCCAGGCACTTGAACAGATGTCCCCACTGTTCCATGGCTCCAGTGGGACACACCTGGCAAGACTGGGGTGTACATGGGCCACACGGGGACAGGGAAGGGCCATCACCACCAGGTGACACTGAGCCATTTGGGGTGAGGCTGACAGACAGGGAGAGTGCAGGCACCGGCAAGAGGCTTAACTTAAAAAAAAAAAAAGGTTTTATTTCAAGATCTTCCATTTTTTTTGTTGTTGTTTTCACTCGTATTTCAAAAAAAGTGTTGAGGGGGTAAAAGTACAAAAAAAGTCAGTGGCGGAACAGCAAAGGTTTAGAAATCACAGCGCAGAACGGACCCAAGCAATAGACACAGAGCACAAAGCGAACACCCGACGACACGGCGCAGCCACGAATGGGACCCTCTGTACAAATGCCACCCAAATGTGTCTCCCCCCGCCCTACCCCAGGTTGTTGTGCAGGCAGGGCACCCCACAGCCCCCTGGCTCGCCCTTGCTGCCCTCCTCCGGCGCAGTGCTGAGGATGCTGAGCGGCTCCTCATCCTTCAGGCCAGGCTTCAGCGGGTCCTGCAGCTTGTGGGGTGCGCCGGGGTCATCCTGGGGGGAGAGGGAGACTCAGGGGGATGGCTGCGGTGGTGGTCCCCTTCTTGTGAGCACAGAACGGGACAGAGGGACCGTCTGAGCCCATCCTGCCATGGTCACATCTATACCAACCCAACCCAAAGCCAACCCAATGCAAAATAACCCAACGCAACACCAAGCCCAACTCAATCAAAGCCCAACCCAACCCAAAGCCAACCCAACGCAACGCAACGCCCAACTCAATCAAAGCCCAACTCAACCCAAAGCCAACCCAACGCAACACAAAGCCCAACTCAACCCAAAGCCAACCCAACGCAACGCAAAGCCTAACTCAATCAAAGCCCAACCCAACTCAAAGCCAACCCAACGCAACACAAAGCCCAGCTCAACCCAAAGCCAACCCAACTCAATCCAAAGGCCAACCCAACGCAATGCAAAGGCCAACCCAACCCAAAGCCAACCCAGCTTAATCCAACCCAGCCTAAAGCCCAACCTGACCTCAAGCACCAGCAGGTATCGGACACTGCCCTCACTGTCCCCACTGTGAAAGCTCCCTTCCTTCCCTCTCAATCTGCCCTCCTGCATCTCCCAGCCCAATCACTGGTAAATTCTTTCTCCATCTTTGTTTAGGGTGTTGAGGATGCACCCAACATCACATCCAACACCACAACCTCACACCTCCTACAGGGGAATACATCCACCAGCACATGGATGGCACTGGGTCCCCACGGAGCACTCATGGCACGGGCAGAGGGCAGGCAATGGAGTCCACTGCGTTCCCAAGGTGCCCCCACGGTGTACCCATGGTGTCCCCATGCTGTCCCCATGGCGTCCAGCCTGGCACTGGAGCACCCTGAGCCCAGCTCACCATGTGCCACCACCACCCTGACTGGCTGCCACCCCGCTCTCCCCCTCCCACCCATGAGGTCTATCTGTGTCGCAGCCCCTCGTGCCAAGCAGTCACCCCACACAGGAGTCCCATGTCTTGTTTTATTGTGTCCCATTAGCGTCTGGCCGCCATCCCAGGTGGGTGTGCCACCAGCGGGACTTGTCCCCGTGTCACCCCCCTGTGCTTGGACATCTTGTCATAGTGTCCATAAAACAGGGAGTGGGTCTTCAGTCCCAAACCCCCTTCCTGGGGTGTCCCCATTGCTGTCCCCTCCAGAGTGGGGCTCCCAGGCACCAATGGGAACGAGCCCATGGCATACCAGTGGGGACAAAGGCATGGGGAACGATGGTCCCACTTGTGGGGAACAGTCCCAAATCCACTCCAGATCCAACCCACTTGTGGGGATTGGTCCCGAATCCACCCCGGGGCTGTGCCAAGGCTCCCGCTGGGTCACTTGCAGGCACTATGGTGCTAGAATTGCTCCAAACCAGGGGGAAATGTCTACAGGGCCGAGGTTAGAGGGCTCTATGCTGTGCTTCTCTCTGTGGCAATGCAAAAAGTGGGGGGCAGCTGCAGTGCTGCTCCCATAGTGCCCACCACACCCCAGAGAGCATCCCTAGCTCCAGTGTCACCCAGCAATGGCACTGGGTGGCACAGGTGGGACACCATGGGGACGTGGCACACCACAGCAACGTCACAGCCCCACGCCACCTTCAAACCCCCCAGCCCAAGGGGAGAGGGGCTGTGATAAGGGATGTGATAAGGGATGTGGGAAGGGATGTGGAAGGGATCCTTACGTTCGGGTGGGAGCCCTCGGCGATGGTGGACAGTGAGAAGTTGTCGTTGTGCAGCTCGGACGGAGTGCGGTATCTGCGGGGGGACATGGGGTGAGCGCTGCGCCCCACGGCTGCTCTGGGGTTTATTTTTGAGGAGGTCCTCATGCAGTGCAGGGGCAGGCAGGAGCCGAGGAGCCAGGCTCTGGCACAGGCTCCGCCGCTAATTACACTTGGCCCTGCCAAACGCTAATTAAGAGCTCGTTAGTGACCCATGGGAGCACTTTCTCCTTGCTTGGCTCTGGGAGGATACGAGGCAGCGGTTGCAGGGAGTGACCCCACTGCGCCCCAAGTGTCCCCACAGAGTGGTGTCCACAGTGGCAGATGTCACCTGCGTCCCCCAGACCCCCAGCCGTGCCCACCCAAAGGGCTGGGAGGATGAACCCACTGGAGCATGGTGACATTTCTGCTGTCCCCATGTTCCCGTCTGTCACCGGGCAGGGGGACACGATGACAGCACCCCGTCCCCCCCAGGGTCACCCCACTCACTTGGTCTTGCGCAGTTTGCTGTTCTCCGTCTTGAGCAGGTAGAGCTTCTTGGCAAAGAAGACAGTGAGCATGAAGAGCAGCAGCAGCACCAGCGCGGCCGAGCCCACGGCCACGCACAGCACCTGGAAGTCGGTGACAATGGCCTCGCAGCGCGTCCCCTTGTGCCACGTGTAGTCCTGTGTGTTGCACCTGAGAGGGGACATGGGGTCACGGTGTCACCCCCGGCACTGGGACCCACGGGGGACATCTGTGGGGGATTATGGCCGGCGGGGAAGGGATTAATGGGTGTCCCCACACAGGGGTGACCTCCCCCTGGCCCAGCAGTGGGGCTGCAGTGCCCCGACCCCATACATGGCACTGCAGAGACCCACGAGGACATCCCCGCTATGTCCCCATCACATCTCCGCATGCTGAGCCCTCCCCACTGCAATCCCGACGGGCGCTGCGGCCGCAGCCACATCCGCACAGCCCTGACCTAATTCCTGGAGGAAAGCCCCCGCCCGGGGGGGCACAGCCCACGCTGCGGCCCTGGGGACGTAACCCTGGCTATGGACCCTCCTGTGTTACTGCTGGGGCAGGGGGAAGCTGAGCATCACCCCTAATCCTGCACTCTCCTGTGGGTCAGAGCACACTGGGGACACCCCCATGTCCCCTGTGGGGATGCAACCATGGCTAGGGGACACCCACTGGGGCTGGGGGACATCCACCGGTCTTGGGGATGCCCAAAGGGAAAGTGGGGTGCCACTGGGGCTGTGGGACACCCAATAGGCTATGGGATACCCATGGTGCTATGATGCCCATGGGGACTATGGGCCCACGCCCATGCAGCTGTGGGACTCACTGGGCAACGTGAGACCCGTGGTGCTCTGTGATGATACCCATGGGGGCTATGGGACAGCCGTGGGACTATGGGACACCCGTGGGGTTGTGGGACCCATTGGACTATGGGACACCTGTGGTGCTATGTGATGATACCCACGGGTCTGTGGGCCATGGCCCAGCACAACCCGTCCCCACGCTGGGGCTGTCCATACCTGCAGAAGGCCCCATGGCTCTCCACCAGGTAGCACTGGCCGCCATTGTGGCAGTAGCTGGGGACGAGGTCGCAGACGGAGCGGCAGGAGCTGTTGTGCCGCACGTATCCGTTCCGGCACTCACTGCTGTTCTCCGGCACCGCACGCTCCCCGGGCCTCGGCCGCGCCATGGGGGTCCCCCCCGTGGGGCTGGGGGGCGGCGGGGCGCGGGGCGCGGCCGAGGCAGGCGGTCTGTAGCCATTCTCATCCTCCAGCCCGCCATCTTCCTCCTCCTCCTCCTCTTCGTCCTCCTCCAGCTCCTCCTCCTCCTCCTCATCCCCTTCGGCGTAGAAGGAGGTGGTGGGGTAGAAATCGGCTTCGTCAAAGGGCGTGAAGTCATCGTAGAGCTCGTGGAGGCCCCATGGCGTCGCCGCGCCGCCCGGCTCCCTCTGCGCCGCGCCGCCCGCCCCACGGCCACCCCCGGGGCCTTCGCCGCCATCGAACACATCGTAGTAGTCAACGTCGATGATCTCGGGCGGCTCTGCTGTGCCCGGGGCAGCACTGATGGGCTCCGGAGCGCCCAACCACGTGCGGTCCGTGCGGCCGCGGGCCCTCTGTGCTGGGACCGGGCTGGAGGAGGGCTGGGGGAGCTCCATGGACACCTCCAAATCTTCGGCCACGGGAAGAAGGTCGGGTTCGGTGCCTGGGCTCGGGCTGGGGCTGGGGAGGGCGACGTTGGGGTTGGAAAGACCAAGGTTGGGAGTGGGAATACCAAGGCTGGGGTCGGGGTTGGGAAGATCAAGATTTGGGTTGGGGTTGGGAATGGGATGGTCAAGGGTGGGCCCGGGACTGGGGAGACCAAGGCTGGGGTTGGGAAGACCGAGGTTGGGGTCAGGAAGACCAAGGTTAGGAAGGTCAAGGCTGAGGCTGGGGTTGGGAAGACCAAGGTTGGGCCCGGGGCTGGAGAGCCCAAGGCTGGGGGGGCCCGGTGTCAGCCCCTCTGTGGGCCCAACGCCGGCCCTGGTGGGCTGCTCGCCGCTGCCAACCTCCTCAGGGCTGCCCAGAGCCACCGCGCCGCCATCGCCATCGCCGGGCCCAGTAATGCCGAGCCGGGGGTCCTGGGCTGCATCGGGCACGGGGGGCACAGAGCTGGCAGCCGCCTCTCCACTGCACCCCATGCACCCCACTGTAGGGTCGGCGGTGGCCGGACCCCCCCCGGGCGGCTCCAGCTGCGGTCCCAATGGGTCGGTGCTGTTGATGGGGGCTCCATTCTGCAGGGGGCCCCCCCAGGCTCTGCCTGCGCTGCCGTTGCGGGGCGGCCACTCGGGCGCTGTGGGGCACAAGGACGGAGCGGTGTCACTCACGGCGTTTCCCCCCACACCCACGGGGGTGGCAGCACGGCTCTGTGACACCCCTGTTGCCAGGCGGCCCCGCAGGGCTCTGTGCGTGACAGTGGGGGTAAACCTACCCCCCCGTGGGGATGCAGAGCGGCACATGGGATCCTGCCCCCCTGTACACATAATGGGATGCAGCCCCCCATACACACATATAATGGGATCCAATCCCCCATACACATGATGTGATCCGGCCCCTCCCCCCCCAATATATAATGGGATCCATCCCCTCCCCTGCAGCGGGATGCAGCCCCTCTGAGCAGCTGCTCCCAGCCCCTGCGGTGCCATCCGGCCCCTTGCAAAGGAATCCGGCTGCCCGCAGGGGGTCCAAACAACCCCTCCAAAAAATAAATGACGGGATCGCACACTGACACGCACAGCATTGGATCCCACCGCCCTGCACCGGGATCCAGCCCTGCAATGGGAGGATCACAGCTTCTGCACGGGGATCCAGCTGCGTGCCGGGGAATCCGCCCCCCCGCCCCATAACGAGATCCAGAGCCCCCCATATACACACGGAGCGGGATCCAGACCCCCCCGGACGGGACCCGGTCCCTGCGGCGGGATGCAGTCCGGTTCCGAGGGGGTTCATCCCCACGCCATGCTTCCAGCCCCCGCCCCACAGAATGGGATCCACTCCCTAACGTGGGACCGAGCCCCGTGCGGGGGGGGGGTCCGGCTGCGCGCACGGCGATCGAGGACCCCCCGTCCACAATGGGACGTGCCCCCCCCAGAACCCCGCAATGGGATCCAACCCCCACCCCCCGCGCGCGGAACGGGACCGAGCGCTCTGCAACGCGGACGTGGGGACCCACTGCGGCCCCGCACCGCCCCGCAGCCCCCCGCCCATCGCGGGACCCTCTTCCCCTCTCGCAGCGGTTTCCATCCGCCCCGTATCCCCATCATCACCCCGCAGCGCGTCCCATTCCCCGCACCGGGATTCACCCCCCCCTCCCCCGCAGGTGGCTCCGCCGCCGGGCCCGGCGCGGGGCAACGGGGCCGACTCCCCCCCGACCCCCCTTCCCCGCAGCCCCCACGTACCGGGCGCGGCGGGGCCGATCGCGCTCAGCGCCAGCAGCAGAGTGAGGGCGGCGCGGGGCGGCGGGGCCGGGGGGGCCATGGCGGCATCAGCGCCACCGCCACCGCCACCGCCGCACCGGACGGGACCGCCACCGCCGCGGCTCCGCCCGCCCCCCCCGCGCCTCCGCTCCGCCGCTCCCTCCGCTCCGCCGCGCTCCGGGGGGGCCGGGCCGGGCCGGGCGGGGGGCGGGGGGAGACGGCTCCGCCCGCGGGAGGGGCAGCGCCGCACCGGCAGCCCCCGGCACCGGGACACCCCCAGCGCCGGCAGCCCCGGCACCGCGAGTCCCGCATCACAGCCCCGTTCTCCGCGAGCCCCGCGCTGGGATCCCTCCCTTCCCGAGGGGACCCGGACCGCTCTCAGCCGCCCTCCTGGGGCGCGGGGCTCCCTGGGGGGGCTCCGAGCGGCCCCTGAGGACACCTCTGGGACGGGGGCGCGGCGTCCCCGAGGGCCGCAGCTGCGGGGCTGCGGGCAGCTGGAGGCCGGGTGGGCGCGGGGGGGCACGGGGGTGTCGTGGGTTTGGGGCACCGCGCACACGGGGACATCGTGAAAGTGGGGACGCCGCACGTGGGGACGTCGCGCAGATGGGGACCCTCCGGCTCACAGCGCGGCTTCATCCCCCCCAAACTCCTTCGGGCGGTGACATCGGTGATACCCGACCCCTCCCTCAGTGCCGACCCCGGGACCCGCAGCGTCCGCCCCACGGCCGCCTCGTTCCCCCGGGGCCGCCCCCGACGCAAAGGACGGACGGTGCGGGGTCGGGGCTGCGCGTCGGGGTCCCCATCCACCGCGCCCAACCCCTGCAGCGCGGGGCCGCGCTCCCTTCTCCCGGTGCTGGCCGCGCTCACCGCGCCGCGAACAAACCGCGCTCTGTGCCTCTCAAAGGGGTTTTGAAGGGGCTGCGCTGCTTAATATTCCCCGCACCTCCGGCCCGGAATGCGTCTCCAAGGGGACGGGGCGAGGGGCCGCGGGGGGAACGGTGCCAAAAGCCCTGCGATGGGGCGGCAGCGGTGCGCACCGCCTCGGGGTGCGGCCCATCCCGCAGCTCCCCGCTTATCAGAATCCTTATCGGCTGCGGGGAGCGATGGCTGCGGGGCGGCCCCGACGGAGGGCAGCGAAGCTCACAGCGGCCGCGCTCAGAGCGAGTGGGTCAGAACCGGAGGGTGGGCACACATTGCATCTCTGTGCCGGGGGAGGTCATGGAGCAGCTCCTGCTGGAAGCTGCGCTGTGGCACGTGGAGTCACAGACCATGGAATGGCCTGGGTTGCAAAGGAGCACAGTGCTCATCCAGTTCCGACCCCCTGCTGTGTGCAGGTCACCAACCAGCAGCCCAGGCTGCCCAGAGCCACATCCAGGGATGGGGCATCCACAACCTCCTCGGGCAACCTGTGGCATGGCACAGCCAGCACGGCTTCCCCAAGGGCAGGGCCTGTCTGGCCAAACATGGCCTTCTGTGATGGTGTCACTGTGGCAGTGGATGAGGGAAGAGCTGCAGGTATCACCTCTCTGGATTTCAGTGAGGCCTTCGACACGGTCTCCCACAATGTCCTTCTCCCCATATGGGAAAGATGTGGATTTGATGGTGGGACCGTTCAGTGGATGAGGCGCTGCTGTGAGATGTACCACCACTCTGGTGGTCAGCAGCTCCGTGTCCGGATGGAGAGCAGTGACACTGGTGTCCCTCAGGGCTCAGTGCTGGGATCTGTGCTCTATCCCATCTCCAACAGTGACATCAGCAGTGCACTGAGTGCACCCTCAGCAGTGTGGGTGACACAGAGCTGTGCGATGCAATGGAAACACCTGAGGGATGGGATGCCATCAGAGGGACCTGGGCAGCCCAGCAGTGGGCACAGGAGAACCTCGGGGGGTTCAGCAAAGCCACACGTGAGGCTGCAGGATGCCCCATCCCTGCAGACACCCACAGTCGGGATGGGCTCTGAGCACTGATGGAGCTGTGGGTGTCTCTGTGCACTGCAGGGCGTGGGACCACACGGCCTTTTGGGGTCCCTTCCAACCCAAACCATTCTACCACAACCTGTACCAAAGCACGACCCGACACGGCGCAGTGCTGCAGCACACAGACTCCAAATGCAGCCCAAACTTTGTACAAAAACATTTGTTTTATTTCACAAAATCGGGTGGCTGTGTGGCTGCAGGAATAAAACCGGCCCTATACAGAGGATCAGATGAAAAAAGTCAGCACGTGGATTATTTATACAGAAACACAACAGTGTCGAGTTGGGGTACTCTGCGAGATCACTGCTAGTACAGTAAAAAATAGTCTCCATCTGGATCCTTTAGATTGAAGTTGATCACGCTAAAAACAACCTGAGGTTATTCTAAACGGTCTGAACCAGAACCCCCAGCTCACCCCAGCGCCCCCGCAGGGGAAGGGCCCATGGGAGGAGATCCCTGGCTGGAGGTGGGAGGCGGGGGCTCCCGGCCTGGCAGAGGGATGCATCATTCCTATGTGCTGGAAGCAACGCGACCGCAGATGGTTGGGAAGGTCAACCACTGGTGCTGAGTCGAGCACCTGAGTGCTCTCCAAAGCAGATCCGTGGCTGTGAACCCGGGGATGTGAGTGGTTCTGTGGGTTTGGGGCTGTGACCGACCCTCACCACCATCCTCCACCGCCGCCCTTCGGTGCTGTGAGCACGGAGATGTGGGGAGGGCAGCGTGGAGGGGATGCGCCCACAGCCCAACCCAACCCCCAACCCGACCCCCGACCCACCACTGCTTCCTATCTACTTTTTTTTTTTGTTCATTTTAAACATTAAAAAGCGTATGCTCCAAAAAGAGGGACTAAAAATGGCGTTTTTTATTCCTCGGTTGGCTACGGCACCAAACTACTCAGAGGGAACGTCCAACTACTGCCTCCAAAGGCAAAAGAAAGGTAAAAACTGGAGCAAGAAAACTCCTACCATTGAGTGGTTTCATTCCAATCGATTTGCTCCTGGCTTCATTCGCACCAGGCCCATATTTTTCCATTAGGGCAGCGATGCCACCCCAGGCCCCGCCGCCATCCTCAGCGACAGCCGCCTGCATGGCACGGCCCACATCCTGCACCCCGCTGTGCTGCCCACCCCCACCCCTGCTTTGGGATCCACTCTTGGTGCTTTGCTCTCTCCACCTGGGGAACCCAAAGCATTGGCTCAGAGGTGGGGGGGAGGCGTGGGGCATCCCAACGCTCAGCTGATGCATTCAGCGCACAGCTTTATCCCACTCTGCCCAGGAGAACCCAAAGATCAAAACACCAAGAGGGGATAAAACCAGAGCTGGGGGCACCGGGAGCAAGCAGAGCACAGCAGGGACCTCAAACCCGGGGACAGTGGTGGCATCTCCGATGGGCAACGTCCCAAAGGGGCGCCAAGGACTGCCAGGCTACAGTGGGGAGCGGGGAAAGGGACTGTGTGTGAATGTGCCCATCTGTGGGTGTGTGCACACAACGGGGGGCGAAACCTCCAGGGGAGAGGAGAGTAATGGAGTTCTTTTGGTCACCACTGTGTTGCTGTAGAAGTTCCTTCTCTCGGGATGCTTACGGGGCGGCCGCGGCCGGCGGGGCTCCTGCTGGAGGGGGGGTCACCCCTTCTGCGGGCGGAGGCGGCTGCACAGCGGGGGGATCTGTGGGGACAGCAGGCAGAACAGTGAGGGCACGAGCAGGAAAGCTGGAACGATCCCCTGTCCTCCCCTCCCGCCGCAGCACAGCTGCGCTCCACCTCTGAGCAGTGGGTGGGGGATGCAGCACAGGAGATGCTAATGGGACATGACAAAGTTGGGTAGCAGGGGAGGAAAAAGAAAACCAGAGTAAAGAGCTGCAGGAATACAAGCTGACACAAAGGCATTCCCGTGGTGGAGGCCCAGAGAAATGGAAGGAGAACTGAGGGGAGCACCAGGGAACAGAGAGCAAACAGCAGCCACACAAACAGCACTCAGTGCTCATGGCTGACAGCACTGAGGCAGTGCTCCCTGCAGTGAGAGCCCAAATGGGGCAGATGGCCCCAGTTCTTTATGGGAGAGGTACTGAGGGCAACTATAGCCCCCCTGTGCTCGTGAATCTCTGTGTGCACATCATCACAGAATGCCTTGGGTTGGAAGGGACCTCAAGGATCATGAATCTCCAACCCCCACCAATGCAGGGCCACCAACCTCCACATTTCACAGCAGCCCAGGCTGCCCAGGGCCCCATCCAACCTGGCCTTCAACACCTCAGGGATGGACGGGGCATCCACAGCCTCTGGGCAGCTGTTCCAGCACCTCACCACTCTCACAGCAAACAACTTCCCCCTCACATCCAGCTGAAATCCGCCCTCCCTCAACTTCAAACCATTTCCCCTTGTCCTGCTGTTATCTCCCCTTCCCAAGAGCTGACTCCCCTCCTGTCTGTAGGCTCCCTTGAGGTGCTGAAGGCTGCAATGATTCACCCTGCAGCTTCTCTTCTCCATGCTGAACAAGCCCAGCTCCCTCAGCCTGTCTTTGTAGTGGAGGTGCTGCAGCCCCTGATCATCTTTGTGGCTCCTCTGCACCCTCTCCAACAGCTCCCTGTCTTTCTTGTACTGGGGCCCCAGACCTGGACGCAGTGCTGCAGAT